CTCGTGCCAGGTTGCTCAAGGATGACCTCCTTGCCCTTGGAGCAGTCTGGAGAATTGGCTTCCTGCTTTCAAGTTTAGAAGGGAAGTAAAGGGTTCAGAGAATAAGTTAAACATAACTTGCATCTGTATAGCACAGAAATTATGTACACTTTTTAAGTGAGAGTTGACTTGGTTTCACAATTCGGACTGTCTAGTATTATGGTACACCATTTTGTAAGGGAGAAGTGACCATTTCGCACTGAGAAAATTTAAATAGAAAGTTTGAAGAAAATTTTCATAATCCCTCAAGCCCAAGGAGATATCTACTTCTGGAAGAGGATCCAACAACGAACGGTTGTCCCACGAAAATGGACCCTGCCCGCTTGACTATAAGGTTCCATTGCGCCAACTCGACAAATTACAATTTGAGGGAATTAGGACAGACCTGTTGGGAGTTTTGCTAGCTTCTATTGTAGCTCCTTCACTTCCATCTCCATGGGAAAAAATGCGCACTAGGTTGCTAAGTCAAAATAAAAGAAAGTTGTAACAGTTGGGCAAAAGCAAGCAAATACAAGCTCCACAATTTTGATTGGTAACAACGGTACTGACTGAATATGTGAGATCCTGTCAAAGGGGCATACCTATAAGACCCGGTTGCAAAATGAAGTCCATCTCCACTGAAACAGCACCCGAATTTATCAAATATGCGATCATTGTTATACAACTCAGATAACTGCATAGGAGAAAAAGGCTGTCAGCAGTAGGGACTACGGAGATAGGTTCAGGAAAGGTTGTATATGTGAACTTATGAGTAAAAGCTAATGATACCACATGTCTGCTGCAAGGGCAACTGGGTAAGGGACCTAGTTCAAAGACAAGTTGAATCATAATGACACCCATTCAATTCATTTGAAACTCAGTTCACAGGTTTCAAAAATTAATGTGGTGATATTTTAATGTAGGAAGTTTATGCTCCAATTATCCAAGAACCTCTCTTGGAGCCAAAACGTTGGTTTTTCTCCGCTTACCTTAGGGCGCAGTTGTTCATGAATCTTGTATATTGCAACTGGTGAAGAATCCATATGCATGTCCCAGATCTAAAACAGAAACATAAGCAGCAATCGAATCAAATTTGCACCAACAGAAAGAACTTTGAAAATGCCATCATAAACTTGACGATGACATAACTTTATAAGCATCACATTTTTAGAAGGAAAATCCAAAATCTAAAAGTAAACCTCAACCAAAATAAAGCACCTTTAGATTCATGTAGTCGCGACTTAAGATGTGCCGCCCATCCTTAAAAAATTTTATATCAGAGATAGATGCAATAATTTCTGTGAAAAATGACTTTGGCACATGGGAATCTCCATCTTGTAATCTGTCAATCCCTCCAATTCCAAATAACGAGTATCAGTACATCCTCATGCACTATATCAAAACTAATACCACACAGATCACAAAAACCAACAGAAACTGAGATTAGACTCACATTCTTGCACTGTGATCACATAACGCTGACTGCCGCATGTCAACTAAACGAATAAAACCTCTTGAGCTGCTGTATGCAAGCAGATTACAATGAATTGGATGGAATTCAGCCGCTGTTAAGACCTCTGGATAATAATTCATCATCAGCATATATTTTCATTTGATAGATACATTGGTAGAGCACAGGAATTGTTTTGTCAAAACTGAGTGAACAGGTTGGTCAGATATTGACACCCCTGTTGGTTAGTGTCCCATCATAAATAAGGAACTGCGGTCGAAAATTATGGAAGCAAAACCTAATGCCATGGCTAAATTGAAAGAGGGAGAACCATTTAGAACTTTACAGAATCTGAAATTTTCTCAAAATTCAATTCTCTGAAAACATACAAATTTTAATCTTTCTATCTCAAACATTCTAACTCAATTCCAAACCATCTTTCCCACAATTTTAACCTATATCTTGATCGGTATCTTCCCACAAATGGAACATATCATCATCCGAAAAAAAAATGAAATGTTTGGATGATATTAAGCATGTTCAATTGAATATATAAATATAGGCGTTCATAGAAATTATAAGATGTAAAGACTAAGGGTAGACTACCAGTAAGGTCCTCCATGTTTGGTGGCTTCATATCAAGGATATTGAAACACTGGTCACTGATCTCAAGATTCCACAAGTTTATTCTAAGGTCATCCGCAGAAAGAAATGTTTCACCATCGCTGTACAAGGGTTTAAAGCAGATTATCTTTTAGATGCTATACATTTAGTTTAAAACTTATAAAATCCATGTTATTTCGGCAATTTAAAGAAGCAATAAGGACAACCAAATAAGGAAAAAAATACACGAAGGTGCATCTGCATAGTGGATAAACAAAGTGGCTTCTGAATATCATAATTTTTCTGGCAGAGGAAATTTTTAGCTAGACGAGATACTGATTTTGAAATAAAGCTATCCACAAACTTTACCTATTATTTGAGATGGAGTTAATATTAAAATCATGAGCATGGGCATACACCTTTCGGCATCTTGTATGAGCATTGTCTTCAATGTCAGCAACCTAGTCACATAAACAAGTTATAAATAGTAAATTTGAACACTGTGCAAAACTTCTAACAAGTTACAACACAAGAGCGATGCCAACAGATAAAAAGAAACTTTACTAAAACGCACGGGTACTAACCTTCGTATGCATGTCTTCAGAAGATGACATGTTTTTAGTCATCTTCTCTATCCATTCCCGACGATAGCCATTAGGAAAAGGTGGTTTATCTTCTCTGCTAATGAAACTCCTTTCTGCCAGAAGCAGATTATCCGAAGATGCCAGTGGACAAGGGGTCATTTCTTTTACTTTCTTCACCTTGGATTCCTTAACCTGTTCCCAGAAACAAGAAAACGAACTAGTCAAAAGTGGAAATGCAATATTAATAGAGCTGTGATATGCCTCTAATTTGGTTGTGATAATTTCTTGTTGTTGGACAATAAAACACGTAAAGTAGCATCCTTTTCAACACAAACTGCTCTATCTTTGTTTCTTCACTGTTGTTTTCTCATGTATCACTTGGCACATTAATTTTTCTGATTTTTGGTTTTCTGATGCATTTTTTCATTCAAGAACACAACTCCATTGGCTAGCAGCAAGTGTCCACCATTTTAAGTAAAATGATTTAATTAGAAAAGTTCATACCTTCCACAGTTTTATCGTCTTGTCATTTGTTGAAAGCATGAACTGGGATCCACTAGATGTTGCACACCATCTTACTTTGTTGATCTTCTCTTCAATCTCCACACTCTTTAAGTAGTCAAACTGAGTAAAACGTAATAGCATGATAAAGTAATCATCCCCATCGCACAAATAGAAGCGACAGAACAAAACACATGCACCGGTATTACCCAATTTAGGCATCAACGCGTATCATACATGGTGCATCATTAAATACAAGATTTTAAAACATACCTCAGGTTCATGACTCTGAAACTCAGTCTTAAACTGAAATTCAGGATGCTGGGTGGACGTGAAATCCAACTGCTCCAATTCATGTTGAGGGCGTTGCTGATTTAAAGTCTACGAAGCCAATTAACAATTAAGGGTAAAAAGAACGTAAACCCAATTTCATCCAACATTAGATGCCAGCCTAACAAGGAAGATAGCCCCAAGTGAATTCAAAAGTTTTCATATTTGAAAAATGTCCATTTAAAATTTTCCTGAACGATAAAAAAACGTGTTGGCAATTCTCACATGTTTCCCATCCTTCCTCTCGAATATCACACATCGGCCACCCCGATCTCCAATGGCAAGGAAATCACCACTCTTGTCGAATCCAATTGCGGATATCATATCACCTACACGAAAAAACATCACTTCTGGAGTTCATTTCTTTACTTCTTTACGTAATCAACGTAACAAAAATATATTTGAAACAAAATAAATCCAAGTTCTTCATTTGGTTTCGAAAAGAATGAATCTTTGGAAAAGTAAAACCGACATCTGCATTCCCATTTAAACCAAAAAATCAACCAATTAAAACCATAGTTTTAAAGTCATTTATACATTTTCCCAGCTCAAAAGAAGCAAAAAAGTAAAATTATCGCAATTCATCTCCATTTTCCAGAACTTTCTCAGTAACCAAACACAGCATAAGCAGGAAAAATGAATATTTCAATCAATAGCACAACATACATACGTATATACATACCTACACACATACACACATACACACATACACACATACACACATACACACATACATACATACATACATAGAGAGAGAGTATAACCATCGTGAAGGTCTTCTCCGGGAGCTCGTTCGCCGAAGACCTGAGAGAATTTCCACTCTAAAGGCAGAGGGGCCGGAGGGCCAGAGCTCAAAGTCATGGCTGCTGCTGTGGGCTTCCAATACGACGACGCTGGTGGTCGCTTCGTTGGTTTTTTTCTTTGGTAAAGCTACAAGTCTTCGTTGCCGAGTCTCTGAGATTCCCAATCTCCGTCAACCACTCGAATTTCCCAGGAAAATGATATTTCCAGATATGCGCCAAATTTTTGCTTTGGTTTCAAGGCTGGGCTCAGTTTCTAGTCCATCGGTTTTAAGGCCCAATTACCTTTTTCTCCGAGCGGACTCAACATTATTGCCGATTGATGTGTGTTCCTTCGTGCCCAATTCGAATCCGCCCTTTACCTCGGAGATTTTTCAATGAGGCTGTTACACTACGTATCACAATATAAATGAAGTATCACTTAAATTTATTTTTTTTACCTATATTATGACACATGATATATGAACTCCTATTCTGAATTCATGAAATTATGTTTTCTAGGAAGCTACTTGCATGGAGTGTGACTTCCCGTTCTTATCAAATATTGTACGTGTAAATTACTATTAATTGTATAATCTTGCATTATTGGATTGTGAATGTACGCGATCTATCGTCACATACATTCTCAATAATTTATTGTTCGCCCTATTCAATTCAAGCAGCCTCAGCCCTTTGGTTGAAAAGGCATTGTGGTTAGGTTTATGTTTCTTCTGATTCAGTATAACTTTTTTTTCGTTATCAATGAAATTTCTCTCGTACCGTTGAAGTTTTCTATTTGAAAAGGCATTGGATGTCAATAATTTCCAGCATCTTTTGTCCCCTTTTTTGGACAATCCATGTTACTTGTTTAAATACAACATTCATACTTCGTACAAAGTACTGGACTCTGGGGACCCTATTCCATCTCTTGTTTGTGACGAAGTGTACTTCATAAAAGTTTTGGACACATCTGAGTTGAGTATGCTTGCATTCAAAAATGGAGGCTGCTTTGGTGAAGGGATAACATGTTTTTCATCAGTGAGCATCCGAACCACCTCGGCCATAGATGGTCTCACTGCAAGAGAAGCTTGTGTGCACATAAGCCCGATCTGAAGTACATCGGATGCCCCTCTCTCGGGGAATCCACCTTTCAAGGTCGGATCAACAGTTTCGGTGATATTTTTTTCCTTGTAATGCTTCCAAACCTAATGTCATAAGGAAAAAATAAGATGCTACTTACGTGTTAAGAAATACGCATACTGGAATTCGTCGTTGGAGACTTTGCTTATAAAATCAATGATAATCACGTCGTTTGATTGAGCATATCACTAGATGTACCAAAGTGTAACAAATAAGGGAGATGAGTCTTACAGAGTAGAGAACTGAACTTGAACCCTCTACGAAAACACGGTTCTTCTTGCCGCATACTATCTCAAGAACCATCACACCGAAGGCATAAACATCAGCTTTATCAGTTAGTTGTCCTCGAACAAGATATTCAGGAGCCATATATCCCCTGCAACAAAAATCAAACTACTTTGTAAGTTCTGTATGTAAAAGATATGCATCAAAGTCAAAAGGTGGAACAAAATTACTGGTAGCGATTTCTTGAATTCTTACAGTGTCCCCGCGATTCCTGTGCTAAGGTGAGATTTATCCGGCCCAACGCATCGGGCAAGTCCAAAATCAGCAATCTTCGGAATAAGATTCTCATCAAGGAGAATGTTGCTGGCTTTTATGTCTCTGTGAATAATTTTTACTCCACAACTTTCATGAAGATACACAAGTCCCTCAGCAATTCCGCAGATGATATCGAATCTTTGTTGCCAACTTAGAATTTGCCTTGTGTCGTTACCTGCACGAAATAAGTAAACTTGTATTAATGTTATATATGTACACAATGAAGTGATGAATTAAGATGATAACTAGCTAGGTTGGAGTACTCACCAAAAAGGACTTGATCAAGGCTTTTGTTGGCTACATATTCATACACCAAAAGACTTTCTGGACCTTCAATGCTGCAACCCAGAAGCCTAACAAGGTTCTTGTGATGGATGCCGCTGATGAGATTCACCTCATTGAAGAATTCGTCCACCCATTGGCGCGTATTGAAGTACAATCTTTTAACTGCAACAGTTCTACCATCTGGAAGAACTCCCTTAAATACGGAACCAGCTCCTCCTTGGCCTAATTTCCTCAAGGCATCAAAGAAATCGGTGGCCTTTTCAAGCATTTCGTACTTGAAGTTCAAATTGTTCTTGTGTATAGAAATGGAAACCCCAATTGGATTATTGTACACTAACAGAAAAAACTTAAGGATCCAATGAGAACATGTAGAACAAGAATTAACTAAAAATAAGAGGTTGAATTAGGACTGTAAGTTCAAGGTGTTTACCTTCGGTTCTTTTATAAAATCTCTTGTACGCCATGAAAACTCCAAAGAGAGCAAGCAAAGAACTCGCCATGGCAATTAGAATGGTAGCTACAGTTTGCCTCACTTTTATAGAAAAAAGAAGAAGAAGAAATTACTAAGATATTGAAGAAGAATCATTAATCCAAAGCCCATGTAACAAACAAATTTTAAAAAGATATCTTATTTAGACATATCCCAAGTGTAATGATATTTAGACACTATTCGTGACAACATTACCCCCACACTCTCTAATGTAGATGAGTTTCACATAGAATGGTTAGGTCCACCTATACTAGAAAGAATCGATAATGGTGTTAAGATTTTGTGTCTAAATAGCATTATTGAAATTGAAAAGAGAAAGAAATATTGAAATTAGGCTCACCAGAGTCATTTGAACCATCTTCAATTCCATAGAAGTTCTCATTTGAATACCTCAAAAAACACCCTGCAAACATAGCCCTGCCTTCAACTCCAGGCACACATCCGACGAGGCTAGCCCCGGCTTCTTCCAAGCACTCTCTGCACCCGCTTGCATTGATTGTCTTCCAGCACTGAGCCAATGCATACACACTCTCCACTCCTCCTCTCTTCCCGAAGACACCAAAGCCTCCATGACTTACAGCCAATTCTGTCACATTTCGAATCACACCCTCCACCTTTCTAGCAAACTCCTTTGTTCTGAACTTCGAAGCATCGATTCGCGAGCTAACACACTTAACATTCTTGTACTCGTCATCAACTGCCTGGTGAGAAAACTCATGATCATCATAACCAAGAAAGCAACCGTCAAGATATATACGAGCCGAGGTGGAGGGAAGGCAGAGGGGGAGCTTTGTTCGAGACACTGCAAAGCAAGCGGAGCATTCGGTTGGTGACAGATCATCATAGCATTGAGCAAGGGCATACACTTCTGGTGCTGGTGAGGCAATAATGTATTCTCCCCAGCGTTTTGCATTGACATTGTTGGAGATGAAGTTCATTACGTTTACGAAGTTTGGAATGAAGTTGCTGCTGGAGTTATGCTTGCCATGTCCACAGAATCGACCCGCCTCGGAGATTCGAGGGTGTGAGACGGAGGGAGAGAAGAAGAACGCGGAGAATATGAGGAATATGTAAATGAGGTTTTGAGGATTTGGGATTGGTAATTGCATCTCATTCAAATGGTCAATGGGTTACTCTTTCTCCAGAAAAATAGTTATGCATGAGAGAGGGGTTGGTGAGGCCTCAGCGTCCATGTTTATCGTTTTCCATGCATGGAAGATTCAGTTGGAAGCCAAAGGCCAAGAACGAGCCGCCTAAGTGCACCATTATTGACACTTTTAGGGCCCAGTAGGCAGAAGCTTTGAACCTACTTGCTTAAACCCTACGTCGACGTATATTCTAAGTTTCTATGATTGAGTATTTAAAAACTAGCTCTTATATATTAATCAATGGTCATGGTGGAATTTACGAATGAGCACTAAGAGGTGCGCGGTATAACATTGAAAAGGTACCTCTTATTTTTGGTGTGCCTCTCTAACTAGGACAATTATGAGTGAGACTGCATGAGGTCGATGATTGTTTGACAGGTATATTCATCTCTACTACCAAAACTAGCCAAAAGAGTTTCTTCTCATCCACCTCCTCCAGAATTAAAAGATTACAAATTAATATACACAGAATCGTGATTCTTTGAACATTTGATCTAATCGATTATGAATTAAAATTTTTTGTTTTTTAATATATAGTTAAATATTTAATCTACAACTAAAGTCACTTTGGTATAACGTAATACTCAACTGGAAGTAAAGTTGAAATTTCAGCATGCTTCCAGCATCAAAGTTAGAAGTTTGATGAACCAAATGTTACCATGCTGCTAAACATATTGATTTTTTGGTTCGTTATTTTTAATACAAATGTCCGGCATGATGAGAGAGAAAAAAAAGGGGGGGACTGCTTAAAAGAAAACAACATCAGTAACCCTTTAATATTGTTTTTTGGTCAAAAGTAACTGTGTTAGATACAATAATTAAAATTTTCAGGCGTAAAGGGTAATTAATAATTATAAGTGCTATTTCAATATGAGATGCTGATCAAATTCCCATTATCATATTATAAGCCATCACAAGAATATGTAAGAAATTAAAACTTGTTTTATCTGCTACATTCGTTTAATGTTTCTGGGAGTAACTTGCAACCAGTAGTTTCCTTTTCTTTTTTATTTCTTATCCTACTCAGACTTGTGGTAAACGTGCAAATAGGACTCTAAAAAATTAATACAGTAAGACGTTTATATAGTCATAATGTTGGGGCTAAACCGATTTTATATTTCTAGAAAGGTTATTACTTAATAAAGGTGTACTTAAAGAATACTACTTTTTGACTTAATGATCCTTATTGAAAGTTGTATGGACACAAATAACTGCATTATCAGCAGTGGAGCATGAAAAATTTTAAGTTGCATTAGTGGAAGACACCTAATCTTTAAAAGCTAGTGCATGCATGTAGTGCTCACTTTGATACTTTCGCTTTCTAAGTAAATTTTATATAACATTGTTCAGGTTGACGATGTATTACTTGCATACTCAAAGACCTGACATCAAACAACAAAAAAGTATTGTCCCAAATAACGTTAGAGAAATAGTTTAGTTCATCATAACTTGTATTGCGACATTTGAATATTATTTGTACTTATTGATAGTTATTATTACGTAGAGATAAATTTCCTCAAGACGAACCTAGTAAAATGATAACTTATTATAATATGGAATTTATTCTACACATAACTCCAAGTTGGGACTAGAATATTTATTGTACATATATATATATATATGTATATTTATCTGCAAGTGGTTTCTTGCCTTTTCTCTTTATCAGATTCTTCCTTATCTGATGCCATTAAACAATTTTATTGGACAATAATTCCATTAAACATAATACGAAAATACAGCCATGCAAACGTAGATGTCTTTGTTTTCTTTGTTTTTTACTAAGCAGGAGAGAACCACTAGGGAGCCTAATATAAGGGTTGAGTGCGGTTTGGGTTAGTTCGAATTTGGGTCTAACCGCACATTGTGGTTTTGTCTGAATTTCATACCAAACTGAAACCCAATGGCTTAATACCGACATATATCGGTTCAATAATGTTTTGGTTAGGTTTTTAGTTAGGTTTGTGGTATAACGTGCAACTATTACCAAAATAACATCTCAGAGCAAAGCCGAAATAAGTATTAGAAAAAAATTATTATTAAAACATCAATTTATAAGAAAGTTCATCTTCAAACTATCAACCTTGATACTTAAATTTGCAATCTTATAACTACAGAATACTTAATTTGTTGAGGGCAGAAATTTTCTAGAGGCAGTCATCATAAAAACAAGTAAATTCTGTTCACAATTTTACAAAATCCATATTCTTAGGGCTTTTGTTGACAATATACCTAGTCTTTGTCTTTAGGGTTTTGTCTGTCATTTGTTTTTTTTAGCCTATTTTCCTCTCCGGTAATTCTACCTTAGTAAAATCGAAATTAATGTGTGCCCACCCTTCGGTCTATATCCGCATGCTTAGCCCAAATCCTGAGACAAAGCTGATAGGGCCACTCAATGCTTTTAGCAATGAGAACTTAGCCCATCTTAATTAACTAATTTTCTCACTGGTGGTAAATCTTAAATAGCACAAGTTTTCCTCAATAAGAGCTAATATTGCGAGACATTCTATAGTCAGTTTATTCGCATCTCGTAACTATTCTGCATAACAAATCTGTCCTTACACGTGCTAATAACAAAACGAACATTAGTAAAGGAAGATGTAACCAAAGCGAATATGCATATTTGTTCCCAGCATTGGCTTAAGATCGACCGAGGTTCATAATTAATCTTGGTTTCCATAAAGACTGTCCATAACAGCATATTGCATGTTCTCTGATGGCTTCCAATGGCGCTTCCTTTGATTTATAAACCAATTGTTTATTTGTTTCTGATCCAGTCGAGTCACTTGGGCAAGACTAATTTTATCAGCTTCCTGCACAATACCAAAAACAAGAAATTTCAAAGGAAAAAAATAAGTATAAAGTATTGGTCATACTTATATAATGCGAGTGATTTCCACACTCCATTTTCTCCTCTGGAGTACTTTGTTTATTTCTAACTTTCAAATTGAATAAGCCCAAGGGGATCAATAGACAAAAGTATACAGAGTTGTGCACAGAGAGAAGACGGGTATTGAAACTTATAAAATCAAGCTGTTATAATTTATAGTTACCGTTGGGTAAGGCCATTTATAGTGAAGGTTCCACCAATCAAAGAGAATTTGCCTCGCTTCTCTAGGGAGCTTTCCATTCTTCTTCTTCTTGGTAAACTCACGTTTAAGAGTGCTTATATAGCCACTGTATCTACGCAACAGTTTATCCTTTAGCTCATGATTTTCATTTGTCCGCGGAGAGTCTTGAGCCTCTATCTCTCCTCCACTCCAGTCTTCTTCGTCTGATGAACCAGCAGCGTCGTCTGCAATGAAAAAAACCCTGATTTGTACAATTGAACGGAAATCCAATATGCCAAATTTTAAATAACTTGTTCTGTTGTTTATAAGTAGCAGAAATGTGCTCCTAAATTAACCACCTCCACAAATAAAGGTCACAAAAGAAGGAATAAAATTCTACCCATAATATTTAATTGAAACTGCTTTAAGAAAACCCTATGGAATTGGTTCCACACTCAACTGCTTCATGGTTTCATTCCTAACATACTGTAAGATGTAATCACATAATTAATTAATTTCTACATTCTAATTGTCAGTGTATAAGCCAAGGCGACAATGCTAAAAAATACTCAATTCTCTCTCAATTTAATTCTTCCAATTCCGGTTATGGATTTACCAAACGAGTCCTTCTATTTGTTAAGTTTTTTTTTTTATTGTCAAATCTTTTTATTTGTTACGTTTAGACTTGAGACTTTGAGTCTCGACCATGTGAGCATGGAGAGATGGATCCCCATGATCCCAAATGGGCATGGAACAGAATTGTGGGACCAATTGATGAAACAGTGGGCCAGCCATGCACATCAGCTATGGAACCATCCATCCATTGATCATCTACGAGAGACCCTGCATGCACACATGGAGAGCAGGATTTCATGTTTCCAGGGATGTGATGTATCATAAAGCCATGGTGCTATACTGATGGCGGGGTCCGGTAACATCAACTGACAGCCTGAAAACAAAAGTTTTGAGTTTAAAAAGAAAACCAAAAAGAAATACTGAAGAAGTTCGTTCTGTCGTATCGTATGCAGTCAAGTATGAGTGGGCTCATCGATCGATCTGTTCTTTCAGTCTGAGTGGTAAGGTTACCCGTAAGGCACGGCACTATACGTATTATGATTCTTCTACACTCAACTCCAAAGAACGCTCATTGCCTGACGGCCTGACGGCCTGCCTGCAGCCTGCTACACTCTCAAATCTCCATCAGTTCAGTTGACTCTCAAATCTACCGTGTCAACTTTTTTTTCAATTTCTTGCAGTTCCGAGAAAGGTTGCAGAAAGCATCTATACCTTTGTGCTTTCCCATTTCCTTTTTTCCTGTAGTCCTATGGAAATTGGTGCGCAACCCAATTTCATATGACCAAAATAGAAAATGTCAATCTATTTATCTAAACAGCACAAACAAAACCCTTTTTCAATCTAATCAAAGAACATAGTAACACATTATATAAATGATATATGTTTCTAAAAACAAATGGTAAATATAAAAAAGAATATATAATTTTTCGCACACATTTTTACGACTTTTAATATACCTGTTTATTTCAGTTACTTGGTTACCACTTTCTGACACGCCCCAATTTGAACCCAAACTAGCAGCGCAACAGTGCACGCCCCGGTGAATAAATAAAGTTACAACGTATAGAGCCAACACCTAAATGTAATGTTATAATTAAGACAAATAGTAGCAGTAAAGCTTTTGAAATTAATCAAAATCAAACCTCAATTGCAAAAAATGAGTTTGAAATTCGTCATTTAGTAATTACGATAGTAAAAAACTTGTAAGAATTATGGACGCAGATGTGAGTATTACATGAGTGCTACATACAAGACTGGTTTGGGTTTCGTGCCAGAAATATGGATACAGAAGATCATTTAACACATACCACCTAAGGGAAGAAAAAAGCATCGGATGCACCAGCAGCCACCACAGCTTCAACCAGTCTTGCTTCAAGTTTGAATGCTTAAAAGCTGAACCCTACCTGCAGCGGGAACTGCGGGGGTCCTTCTG